GTCAAGATTTGAATTCAAGACATTTGAGTTAGTTTAATAAAATGTGTTGCAAGTAAAGACATCTCTTATTAATTATTATTCCCGTTTGTAGCTAAGTCATATATATGCACAAATGCTTGCTCTAATTTGGCCTGTTTTTATTGTTATTTAAACAAATAAAAGTGTCAGTTCTGTTATTCAAACTCGGGTGAACTTTTATTATCTTAAGCATTTTTTAAAAGAAATAGTAATAAAATATTGTGGTACCTTTTTAAAATTTTTCAGTGATATTACCTAAAAAAGTGACAAGTGGACTTAAAAAATGGTAAGTGAACCAAAAAATTTAGTGCATTCCGAAAATTTGAAATTCTACTCAAAAAGTGTTATAGACACCCAAAATAATAGTAAGTGGTGTGTATCAATTTCTTTTTTGATACCATAGGTAAACCCAACAAAACGGTGACATAAAAACACCCTTTCAATCAGAGTCTTATAAGGCTTTCCTCCAGGATGACATGCATTTGCCATTAGAATAAATCTTGCAGTTTTGCTGGATGCTGAAGTATTGCTTGATTTTTGCTAAATGCCAAATTGTATCTTGAGGAGGTATTTAAATCCCTCATTTAGCTTGAATTTAAGGAAAATTGAGAGAGGATATTGGAGAATTTCTCAATCACTTGCCATAATTTGCTTCAAAATCAGCCCATAATTTGCATAATTCAATTCCATAAGCAGAATAAACATTTACAGTTTTGTTCAACAAATAACTAGAGGTATACTATTAGAACTTAATTTGATGACTCGATGCACTAGTATCAAATTATTATTATTATTTTTTTTTTACTAGTATCAAATTAAGAATTGATCCTAATAATAGTAAGGATCTACTGTTAATTCAATGACAACCGTGCAAAAAGTCTGTGTATGAAGTCGAACGTTTTAAAATTGACTACAATTATTATTGTTTAAATTATACAACTTTTTTGCAATACATACTTTGTTGCAAGCTAACAGCAAAAACCTAAGAATAGTTAAGAGACAGAGAAACAGCAAGTTGTCACTTCACCCTTTCTTGGGCATGGCTGCAAGCCTAGTATACATCTTTGCCATGCACTGGTACCCTCGGGATGTCACCAGAACGGACGAGATTTTACCTATATAAGAGCAAGAGGGAAACAATTAGCTGAAAAAGTAAGACAACAACTCAAACTTGGTAAAACCGAGAGAGAGGAGTGTGCAAGAAAAGGGGATATATATATATATATATATATATATATATATATATATATATATATATAGATGTTAATGGAACTTTTCCAACCTTCATGCATGATTCTACGAGTAGGGTTGATAATTGAGACGGCTTATTTTTTCAAACAAACTTAAAAAATTGTTCAAATACGGTTTGTTTAGAAAATGAATTGAACCAGAGTTGAGTCTAAAACCCGTCAAACTCAAACCGAACTCGAGTAACTCAACTATTTTAAATATAAACGAGTCGAACTTCGCAAACTCAAGCCAAGCTTTTTAGATTTGTTTTTTAAATAACTCTAAAAAAAATTTCAAGCTCTGCTCCTTCAGAATATAAGCCGAACTCGAATTGAGTCATATCTTAACCGAGCCTGAGCGGATGGACTCAATTATCAGCTCTATCCACAAGTGCTGACAGTGGGGTCAACAAGCTAACTTAAACCTCTCTATCTTAAAAAACAGGCTTCTGATGATGTTCTCACTTTAATAGTGTCCTCTTTTCTTCCTCCACCCTCCTGTCTGTACAGTTAAAAAGACATGGCATCAACATTANTAGGGCATAATATGAGATGTTTAATCTTTGAAAGATAAAGTGAAAATATTACATTGGCAAAGTTCTTGTTTGCGTACCTCAACTAATTTCTTCTTCGATTGGGTCAAAAATATGGCATACACGTTGAAATTAAGGTATTTATGAGGGATAAATCTCTAGTGATCTGCTCTTAAAGGATTGTCAAGATTTGAATTCAAGATATTTGAGTTAATTTAATAAAATGTGTTGCAAGTAAAGACATCTCTTATTAATTATTATTCCCGTTTGTAGCTAAGTCATATATATGCACAAATGCTTGCTCTAATTTGGCCTGTTTTTATTGTTATTTAAACAAAAAAAAGTGTCAGTTCTGTTATTCAAACTCGGGTAGACTTTTATTATCTTAAGCATTTCTTAAAAGAAATAGTAATAAAATATTGTGGTACCTTTTTTAAATTTTTCAGTGATATTACCTAAAAAAGTGACAAGTGGACTTAAAAAATGTTAAGTGAACCAAAAAATTTAGTGCATTCCGAAAATTTGAAATTCTACTCAAAAAGTGTTATAGACACCCAAAATAATAGTAAGTGGTGTGTATCAATTTCTTTTTTGATACCATAGGTAAACCCAACAAAACGGTGACATAAAAACACCCTTTCAATCAGAGTCTTATAAGGCTTTCCTCCAGGATGACATGCATTTGCCATTAGAATAAATCTTGCAGTTTTGCTGGATGCTGAAGTATTGCTTGATTTTTGCTAAATGCCAAATTGTATCTTGAGGAGGTATTTAAATCCCTCATTTAGCTTGAATTTAAGGAAAATTGAGAGAGGATATTGGAGAATTTCTCAATCACTTGCCATAATTTGCTTCAAAATCAGCCCATAATTTGCATAATTCAATTCCATAAGCAGAATAAACATTTACAGTTTTGTTCAACAAATAACTAGAGGTATACTATTAGAACTTAATTTGATGACTCGATGCACTAGTATCAAATTATTATTATTATTTNACCCAATTAAGGTGACCCAGTTCATTTTTTTTACCATATAGTAAGTCAAATCCAAAGTTGAGGTAAGCTTTGACTCTGTCAATTTGAGAAGCAAATATATGGAGGTTGATAGTTTATCTGAACTGGAGACTTAGTTCTTCTCTTCTTTCAATTAACAGCACTAGTTTTGATCAGATACTGACAGAAGGTCATTCAGAAATTAATATCACCAAAACTGTAAATTTCAATGGGGAAAACATTCAACAGACACTTTTCTTCTGCCAATGCTGCCATACTAATACAAAGGCTGATCCAGTTTACAATATGCAGCTAACAGAAAATGTAATTTTTTTCTTTATTAACCAAGAAACAAACACAAAGTGTATGCTATTCGGAGAGATAGATAAAGTAGCAATTTGTTCAAAGCCAGAAAAGGGGAATGCAGGCATTATGCTTTCAGTTATCCAAGCAATCATATTCTGATTCGTTTTACTTCAAAACTAGGACAACAGCTGCATGATAATATAAAAAAGTACATGCAATAGATTGATCAGCTACAAGGACTTGCTAAGTCTAGATCTATAGTTGAAAGAAGGACTCAACTGCAAAGACTTGGTTTTGAATAACTTGTTGGATGCTCGTTAATTTGGGATCAATTTGAATACTAAACCAGTTAAAAAAAAAATTACTTGAGTTTAATCAGATGTCAACCTTACAAATATTATTTAAGATTAATTTGTAAGATAATCTTGTAAAATTACAACTCTTTAAAACTATTCAGAATTTCAAATCGAGTTTGAATAAGGTGTTATTTTGAGTCTCTATTTCCACAACTCAAGCTCAAAAAAAAAAAAATTCTTTATTCCTGAAAACCTCTAGACAAATTCCATTTTACTCCTTTGGGGTTTGTCCCGGTAGCACTTTGTCCCCTTGTGGTTTGAAAATAAGCACATAGCCCCCATATAGTTTTGGACCAATTTGCACAACTAACACTGTTAACAGGAAACGTTGAATTACATTAATATCCTCACTATCTTCTTCTCTCAATTACCTTCTCCTCCTTACCAATAACACTACTAAAATCAAAACCTACCAATATTGATTATACTGTTAAAATAAAAATCACATCAATCAATTACAATTAGGATAATAAAATCCAAGCTCACTTTTTCGCTTTACTAGTGAAGCCCCTTGTATCAATTGGTTCCCAAGTTCACATATCTAGATTTAGAGTTCCAAAGTTCACACCACAACAAACAACTAATGTAGGAGACATCGCTGTAAAAATCCATTGTCACCTCTCAATGGAACCACCTTACAAATCATAGCAAAAATAGTGCAATAAATCATAGTAACCAACACAGTCTCTTCTTTGTTGCAAACATAACAACATCTCTTTAATTTGTTGCAAAATCTCAACCAAAATTAATTTTGGTATTTTATTTTTGGACATGATTTGGATTTCAATTTTTAGATTTTGGGTTCAATTTAGGATCGAAAGTGATTGTGATTTCGATTTTGTGTTCAAATTGAAATTAAAAGTGATTAATTTCACATGATAGGTTAAGGTAGTTAGGGGCTGAAAGTGGTTTTGGCATCGTCATCGTGTGTGGGGTTGCAAATGGTGGTGGTGGTGGCTTTGACAAGGTTAAAATTGCGCTTATGAGTGGAGTTGGTTGCCAGTTCTAGTGTTGGTGGTTCTGTTAGAAAGAAAGAAGACCCTTGCTAGTGGTTTGGGTTAGAATGAAAAAGTAAAAGGTCGTTAATGGTAGTGGTGGGTTTGGCGGGAAGAAATGAAGATGATGGAAAAGACATAGGTGTTTCGATAGAAGGTTGAAAAAGATTAAGAAATTTTTTGTCTTTTTGCATTAATTATAGACTTTGACTAAAATTTTTGGCACAACCACTCTGAAATTGGGTGTGTGTACCACAATTTCCGTTAAGTTGGATGGAAACTATAGTAGTAGCAACTCGGTCCAAAAACTACACAGGGGCTATGTGCCCATTTTTGAACCACAAGGAGGCAAAGTGCTACGGGGGCAAACCACAAGAGGGTAAAATGGAATTTGTCCAAAAAAAAAAAAAAACTTTATTCCTGAAGCCAGACCATCCCCGGACAGTTTTACTTCCGTACCCAAACAACACGACAGCGCATTACGCACCAAGCGCAGGATATGAAGCAGTGTTACACTATCAATATATATATTTTGCTTAAACCCTGTAACCTCAACCTCTGTGACAACAATGTCTGCTTCTAGGGTTGTGCCCAGATTATCTTCACTTTCTCACAAACTCTTCAATGCTAAACCAACCACACATTCGATTTCTCCATTGAAAGCGATCTCTCAATCCCCGCTTTTCGCTTCACCAAAACGCATTTCTGCTGTGTCAAGGTGAAACCTTTCACCTTCTACTCTCTCTCTCTCAATTACACACACTCATGTTTATAAGCAAGAAATATGTTGTATATATGTGAATTGATTGATTTTTTGTGTGTTTTGGGATTTGTTTAGATTACCAGTGGAGCTGAGCTGTTTAATGTCTATGATGCCTTTGCATAGCGCAATTGCTTCTGCTCGTCTGAGATCATTTCTGTCTGTAGAGTCTCAGAGCTGGGGTTTGATTCCCCAAGGTCTCTCTCTCTCTCTCTCTCCCTCTCTCTCTCTCACACACACACACACCCACACCCACACCCACCCCAAAGTACGCTCACTCGGATTAATGTATATGGTGCGTGCTATGTTAATCTGGGTGGCTATTATACATGTTTTTTATGTGTAGTAAAACCCATTATCAGTAACTGATGACTTGGCCTACTATCGAAGGTGAAACTAGTAAAGAGTTGGTGCCAGTGTGAATCCCATCATGATCAATATGAAGTCCATTATTAATAATTAACTTCTACGGTGTCTCTGGGTTTTATGAAGCAGTAGAAAGTAGAAACACAAATGATGGAATATAGAATCAAAATTGCAGTTTGGATAACCTCTAAATTGTTTGCTAGCAAAAAGTGTCTCAATAGTGGGTGATTTTCATGTTTTTGAATGACGTGCGTATGATTTTATTTGAGGTTTTGTTGATTTAAATTTTATGTGAACTTATGTTTGAATTGGCCAAATTATGTACGCTTGTTTAATTGGAATATAGATCTTGTCAAGCATGAAGCATTTTTCCCTTGCGTAGTATTTTTTTTGTTTTGCTTTTTTGTTCTCTTACCAAGTGGATTGATTATGTGGAACGCCAATACCTCTTCGCCATGGCTCCTGAAGATTAATTTTTATTCTTTAATGAATTCTATTATTTTAAAGAAGGGGATTGTCTGTCTTTATTGGTTGGGTGCAGCGGCCTTTCAGGGTGTAAGTTGACTAAAAATTGGTATGTGCTTCACCTATCTCTTGTAATGAAGAAATGATCTTATATAATATACTGACTAGTGCCTTGACCTAGTGGTAACAGTGGGTTACTTAGTAGCAGGGCGTAGGGTCCAAATACCATTATGATTGAGTGCAAGGATAATGCATGCTTTTACAGGCTGCATTCTAACATGTTTTCCCAGTTTTAACTTGCATCATGACAAAAGAAAACCCACATTTCAGAAAAGGGTTGGAGCTTAATCAAATCTTAGAGTTTGGATGATACGATTGTAGGATCAGAATTGTGGCATAACTATGCCTGTAAATTTATCTGATTCATGACAGGCATAATAATTGGAAATCAATTATTGGGGATTATTATTTAATTACTTATGCATATGCCCTGCGACGCAAGGAACTTTTATGTTGCAATGTGAGCAGAACAGGTTGATCAATTTCAACATAATCGATAACTGTATCATCAAAATAAGAAACTAAGACATTGCTTTATATGGGAGCTACATTAGTGTTATGTCAGNTGACGCAAGGAACTTTTATGTTGCAATGTGAGCAGAACAGGTTGATCAATTTCAACATAATCGATAACTGTATCGTCAAAATAAGAAACTAAGACATTGCTTTATATGGGAGCTACATTAGTGTTATGTCAGATCACATCAGTGAAAACGTAAAACTTTACTCAATTAGGAGTGGGAGAAACAAGAACTGAGGGGGAAAAACCAACAATATGCTGCATACTGAATGTGTTTTACACCAAAGATTCTAGTTCTAAGATTCTATGAGTTCAAAATTAGTGGGAGTGATCAGTGACAACAAATGGCGCTTGATTTAAACCCGTGGTAATTGTAAGCTCAGAATCTCAGAAATAGGTTCACCAGAGAATTTTATATTTGCAAGTTTTTTCAGCATTATGCTACCCACTTGGAAACTGATGCAGCTATCTCTGANGATACTGAATGTGTTTTACACCAAAGATTCTAGTTCTAAGATTCTATGAGTTCAAAATTAGTGGGAGTGATCAGTGACAATAAATGGCGCTTGATTTAAACCCGTGGTAATTGTAAGCTCAGAATCTCAGAAATAGGTTCACCAGAGAATTTTATAGTTGCAAGTTTTTTCAGCATTATGCTACCCACTTGGAAACTGATGCAGCTATCTCTGAATTCTCTGGTATGGTTGTTCAGATGACAAAGAAATAGTAAAACATCTTAGTTGCCCATCTGCACCTTCCAAGGGGAAAAGTATGAATCTAAATTAATGAAATCCTGTAGGCATGGGAAGAGACCAACTGTGAAGGTGCGAAGAATGTCCAAACCCCAAGCTCTTTGAAATTGCAGCCATGTAAAATCTCGGTTTACTTGAAGATCAGGGACTTCGTCCCTGCCCTTTGTACACACTGCCCGTCGCTCCTACTGAGTGAATGGCCTTGTGAAGTGTTTGGATCGCGGCGACGTGGAAGGATCATCATGAATTTCTATCATACGAAATATAAGCTTGAAGGCTTGTCATTTTGGAGTGTGAAATAACTTATATGCTTGTGTCAACCAGTATCTCCCCAAAACTATCCTATTTACGTATTTATGTGCATATCTCTGTGCGTGTTTTTATGACTGAAGTGGGATGCAAAGTGGAGGTATGGAATTCTACATTCATGTTCCGATACAACAATGAGTTGAATGGGCTTCGAAGAAGGAACCACATGTTTTAGTGCATAGATAGTTCTCTTGCATTAAGGCATAAAAATGGTCAGTTCAATAAAAACTTATTAAGAAGTACAAGCATGTAACATAAAGTAAGACAATGTCCTGTTAATTTAGCTATGCCTTCACGAGAACTGTTCCTTGCTGATTATTCTCTAGAATTGTCTGACCCTAATAAACATTTGGTTGGTGCTTTACATGGTGTTCCATTGATTCCTGATGCTGATCTGAAATGGTTTTTAATCCTTCTTGTTTGTGCTGCAGGCATCTCAATGCCTTTATGACAGCATTCCTTTTATCACAACTCTCAAGTGCTACAAGAAGAATTTTGGTTGTGGTCTGTAGGATTGATGTTGACCTTTTTTCTTGCAGCAATGAATGTCCAATGGGTGAATGGGTGTTTTTTTATTAACTTGTATTCTTCTATGAAGAAGTTTCACAGTGCAAAGTCTCCCTTTTGCAAACTTCGTTGCCTCTTTTGGCTCTTCTACTGTTGTTTTGTTTTTCTTTTTCAATTTATTTAAGCTTTTGCTGTGCTCAATGAGAAGTCTGATGCAAATCAAGTATACTTTTATAGCTTCGGTTTAAGCCAACCAAAAGTTGAATTATGGTTCCATAATGTCTTTGAATTTCTCTTCTGGGGTTTCTCTTTCATTTGTTCAGACTTCTGATACACGTCTGAAGACATTGCACTGTGCGTGGCTTGCAACAAAATATCTGATTGTCAGGCTTACTTTGTAGAGTTCCCTTTGAGGTTTTAGTTTGATTCCTCGTGCCCATGTATGATGTCTGTTCTTTAACCTCTAGTACCCTCTTGCTGATGAATGGACACAACAGATATGCCAAAATCTCTAGGTTTATACATGATTTATTGAAATCTATTAAGTATAAATTGACTTCTGAAGAGTATTGGTTTATGTTGAATCCTAAGATTTTCTGGACGGAAAGAAATGAAAGGAGAGCTTGCTGTATTAAGATGAAATGCTATATCTTTTGCGAATGATTTGAAGAAAACCCTTAGCCTTTGGATCTGAAGATGGTGATGCTTTTAGTTATGGCTTCTGGGAAGAAGTTGGCATCAGTTCCTTCTGGTGGTAATGGTCTAATTGCACTTCCATTGCTGGTACGGTGCCATTACTCCTCCTGCTGCTCAAGCCAGAAAAGGATACAGATGGAGAGAAAAAGGAGTCAGAAGGAGATATTGGCCGAGTCTTTCTGAGTTAAGTTTTTCTGTGTTACCATTTTCATATTTTACCTTTTGTGCTCAGGGTCGATCAACGATACTGTTAACCACCAGTTTGGTAGCCGGAGGAGCATCTGCTAGTGTTTGATCACGGGTTCATCGCTACATTGAGATCGGGCGTCAAGCCCTTTGCATTAATACCCATGTAAAGACATCCTCTGCGAAAATAGCTGTTGCAACCATTTTCGACTGGAACACATGCACCAAGCAGCTAATGAACTTTCAAACATTAAAATGGTCCTGGAAATAAGAGAGATATATCATTATAACAATAAAATGGTGAACTGGATTTTTTACTAAATTTCTGACGACAGCTAATGGATCTAATTGTTTAATAAAGGAGAATGATTACAATCAAGAAGTTCATTATTTACGTTTTTTTTGTAAATAAAAGCACTTTATGTGAACACTGAATGCACAAAATTAACCAACCAGAACATAAAACTTCTTATGTAATGTATCTTACCCTTGGGGTATGTTTGTTTTGACTTTTGAGGATTGTTATGGATGTATTGAAAAATGTATCACTTACATTTTCAATACTAATGAAAATTAATACCGGTAATAGAAAGTATTTCAATCTCTTCTAATGTTTGTTAGTTCAATAGGTACTATAGTGGGTCTCACAAATAGTCATATATTCTATCACATCTTGTATAACAAATATATAATTTTATCCTTAACATCATCCATTTCATTACTCTATTCCAGATGTATGTACAAAAAGATTTGTAAAAAAAAAAAAATTTTAAAACCGGTGACACCGTATGTTTAAATTGTTAAACATAATATAAGGAAAAAATTTAAAAACGGTGATACTATACGCTTAAATATAATACAAGAAAAAAAATTCAAAATCAAAATTTTTTTAAAAAAAAATTAATAAAATTTCTATAAAAAAATAATGACACCATACGTTTAAATATAATACAAAAAAAAATTCAAATCAAATTTTTTTAAAAAAAAAATTAATAAAATTAAAAAACAAAACACCGTTGGTGGCCAAAATCACATACTAACATTAAAGGCCGAAAAGCAATTTAGTCATTAATCTCCCTAATATCATTGGTGGCCAAAACCCAAAAAATAATACCACCTCCTAAGTTGTATTATATAAGCCCATGTACGTGAATTTTGGTGAACTATAACTAACGGATTGATATTGCAACCCAAAAATTAATACCACACAAAAAAAAAACAAACAAATAAGATATTATCGAACCTCACATACTATTTTCCCTAATCCCATCTCCTTATACCATCATTGTCCTTCAAACAAACATGCCCTTGATGTCTTCTCATTATAGCAACCCTAATTGATTAAATGAATTTCTAAAAGAAACAAAACTTCATTCAGTGACTAGATCAAAATAAGGTAAACCTTGAAAGTATGTTTTATACTCTACTAATTTCTCAGTCCCTCTAGTCGGGTCGGCTCCGACCTCAACTAATTCCCCTTAAAAACCATATGTGCCNGTAAAGATGTAGCTTGTTAAATACATTGAAGGGGAAAAACCTATGCATAAGACTGCTTATCAACCCAAATAAAATAGAGAATCTTAATCCCATTAAGGGAAATGATCTGGAAACATTTGCTAAGTTTGCATATATTTTGACAGTCCGACTAATTACAGTCGATCCACTGATTATTATTATTTTTCAGAGACTCCAAAGATAAAAAAAATAAAAGAGTTGTTTAATATTCAGTTTTTTTCTACTAATGACAAACTTGCTCACAAGTATCTGGCTATTTGATTTATAAAACAGGATCAGATACAGTGTGTTTGTTTCCAAAAAGATGGCTGTATGTTATATAAATATACTGGCAAGATTGATGTACAAGGAATAAAGAAGAGGATGAAGGAAAAAACTTTTCTGTAACAAGGCATACATTATTTAGCACTAGGATTACTTACTATCCAGCGTGAACAAAGTTTGATCCTCAAAAATTTTTTGATTAATACTGAGTAATATCATAAGGTATTATTTTTTCTACAGGATTGAATGGATTATATCCATGTCACATCATGTCTTAAAAGCTAAAGATCTCCGAAATCAGTGGCATAGGCCAAATAATTGTAAAGTATGGCATGCCCGGCATGAAAAAGTTAATGTATTACATAACAAACAAGTAGAAAAGAATCACCCTTTTCATGATTCAGATGAAGAAATGTACCTCTTTATTCCCGGCATCTAATGCATTCAGCATTTCTGCAAGGACATCCATAAGACCACGTGCATTCTGAATTTCTGTCAAGCTGGCAAAAACATAATCCATCAAAAATGAAGAACAATCAGCCTCTGATAGAAATATAAGGCATGCAAAAGATGTGTGGGTACTTCAGTAAAACAAACAGGAGTATGTCATAGGAGATTATTCTGATTCTAATCTTCCATGCACTAACAATAAAATGCACATCAATTAGTTTGTCAAAGCATAGTAGTACAACATAGGTAACACTAAGAACCAAGGCTAGGGGTTTCCCTCGCTTCAAGAATTTCTTTGGGCATAAATTGCACATGCTCACAAAGTCGGGTACTAATAAGGTTCCAGTTCGCAAGAGAAATCTAGAAGTCGATGGCCTCATAAAGCCTCAATTTTTGCCCATATTTTCCCTCCTAGTTCAGTTTTAATCACATCCCTTTTATGGTGGGTAGTGGAGCTTGAGACAAACTGTGCCCTTGGAAACATGAATGTAATTTCAAGTAGAGGGATCAATGGTAGCTTCAAAGGTGAAGGAGAAAAGTTTACATCGTCTTATTCATTACTAACTGGCAAGGGAGATGGTCCTCACCTTAGACCTTAATAGGGACCTCTTGGTTTTCTCACCGATCAGTGGCTACACAAGAAAACAAAAAGACTTGGAACACTGCAGCTCATCGCTTGCTGTGGTGCATAGTCCACCAGTAGTAGAGAGTAGGAACCCCTCTCTTGAGATGTGCATAGGCTCATGGGTAAATGTCGCATATTCAAGAACTGTACCCCTTTGGTGCCTTCCAATGATATACCTTCTCCCAAGTTTAAGATCAGTTTTTTAGTATTTTTTTTTAAATGGTGCTTATAACCTAACCAGTGAAATACATGAAACTTTCATAGTTTTCTGAGGCAGAAAGATGCATGAAATATGAGCTGCTAGTACAAATCAAAATTTGAAGAATATGGATTAGTTGCCATCCCTAGGACTTAAATAAAAGTTCATCATCGTCCAATCCAACACCACACAAATTGTTCAAGAGCCAATTCAAAGAATGAAAATTGGTTAACAGCAAGTACCTACCCCAGTTGTTAACATGAGTGGAATCTCCCAGTTGCATTTGTACTGATTATCCTACATAATAAAATATGGTTCTTCCACTAAAACCAAATTGATTTTTTGACCCTATTCAACACATTTTTTCTTAGAAGACTGTTCAACATATATTATTGGATGCATGTTATTATCCTAACCTCATGTGAGTCAGATCAGGGTGTTGCTACAGGTAGAAAGCATACATGGCTGGAACTATAAATAAAGAAAGATGTGATCCAGATCAAAATGCAGCTACAAGTAGAAAGCATATGAGGTTGGAACTACAAATAAATAAAGTAGAGTGCTGGTTTTTGTTAATTTAGCTAATGTAGTGTAATTAAATCACTAAAAAAGCAGAATCCAGGCCAGGTCATTGCATCCTATTTCAATGGATCAAGTTATAGGTTAGGATCATGGGTATGCTCCAAGTATTAAGTTAAGTATAAATGCCTCTAACGCAAAGTAGTCAAACTGGGCCCAATTTTACCTGTCACAAAAGACTTTCATGTAGCTACAAATATATGGCCATGTAGTAGAAATAAGTGAACAGTTGTCTCAGAAAATTTTAGTTTATACAATCACCTTGTTTCTCTCCCATTCAGGACTAATTGTAACAGCATAGCTCATCAATCGAGTAGTTGTTTTGCTTGAAATCAACATATATTCAACTTCACTATGCTGGAACTTATATTTCCGAGCTTTCTCTGCTCGTATTCCACATTTTTTATGCAGGTTTTAGACCTGTCCTTTTTAACGGTTACAGCCACCAATATTCTCATTGGTCTAAGAAAATCACCAAGGCACCAATATACACCTTCAATAATCACTACCTTATCACCTAATAAAAACTTACTGTTTTTATCCTATAGACGCAGAACAAAAAAGTATATCAAGCCGAACATCATGCAAAAAAGGCTGGCCAATTGGAAGTCCGGTTTCTTCGTGAATGAAGTTCAGAATCAATAGAATGAAGGGCTGTAGAACTGAGCACTGCCCCACTATGGCTTCCTCATTTTGAGACATTATAGCTTTGAATTTGACTCCAGTACCAAGAAAGAACCATAAAGAACTAGGATTTGACACCACCATAATGTACCGCCCCTATAATTACACCATGTCCCTTAGATTGGAATTGAAGGCAAACACACGTTCACCACAGTACCAGATCATGAATACAAGCTGACATTCTGACCAAGTTATTTTGACATTGCTCAAGGAAATTAGATATAGCTTTGCATTGTCCAAATACCCTTTTTTCCTGTTTCAACATTCTAATGCCACGAGGAATGAAACAGCAGTTAACAACTTAACCAACTGGCAAAGAAAACTATATAAAATATATTTCCACTTTTTTGTGTTAACTTTCTCTTGAACAAAAAGGAACAAGGCAATGTACCTCAGGGTTGGAAACTCGGGCTCTGCAGAAGAGTCAGCTACTTCTTCTTGAGACTCCGGATTACGCAGATTTTGCGGAAAAGATGACAGAGCATGTGTTTGTGGAGGTGTAAATACAGGTGCAGACCTCTCTGATCGCTGAGGGAATACTGCCCCAATACGCTGACACAAGCAAGTATAGAGCTCAAGAGAACTGAAATGGACATAGCATGGTAACATAACCACTTCTACAAATTTATAGAAGCCCAAAATGACAAAATTACACACCAGAAAAAATAGATAAAGGAAATAAATTTCTTCAGGCATCTAACTTCTTACATACTTATGCTTCAAATTTTAATAAATTAGAATAAAATCCTGCTTACACAACTTACCAACAACTCCTGGTATGCAGCAAAAAATTGTGGATATCTTGCCCTTGGCCCTCCAAAGGCTTCTTGCCAAGTATCAATTAGAATCAATATCTTCTCTTTGACATGAAAGTCGGGCTACAGTTGTGTAAAAGGACGTGTGAAAAACAGTTTACAAATGAAGAGAAAAAAAAATGGTAAAGGGGAGCAATCAAATATTTTAGTAACATGTTGACCTTCTTTTTCACTATTTTCACCATTTCATGCAGCACATTTCTCTCAGCTACGTGCATATGGACGATGTCTCCACAGTTCTTTACCGTCGTCTCCAATAGCTAGCATATAGTAATAGACAAAATGAATTCAATTGAATCCTCAGTAAAACATGAACTTGTGAGAATCACAAGACAATGTTGCACTGTTCCAATATAAAATGACACTAAGAAGCCAAGGTACAGATAAAATCAACTTTTATGACAAAATAGTTGCACATTAATAAAAATGAATTTAGATTACTCCTATTTCCCATTGACTCAATAAACTTTAGTAACATTTCAGGTTCGTGTAATAATCGGGTAGAAATATATTAGGTCGAGTCCTTTTGAGTTCATGCCAAGTCTGTGCCATTTTCATGTAATCTGTGAACCAAAGACAACAAAAATATGTCCCCCTTTCTCTCAAGAAACCATCATTTCAAACCATTCTCTTCCTGGGAATCTTTGGATATCAGTTCGAAGGGAGCACCGAAGACCGAAAGTGAAGTAGCTCCTACCTACCAAATCCACCACACATAGGACCTTGAATTAAAGATCTACTTGATCCTCATCCCAACAAAACCAAATAAAAACCATTTAATTCTACAACGATTTATACAATACAAGATCAACAAACAAAAACCAGACATTTTCTTCTTAAAACCCAATAAAATGGGTTTGTTGAGTCAATATAGGATTATTCATGTTGAGCACCAATCCTACCCATTTATTATTAATATTAATTGGCCGTACCATTTTCAGGATCGTGTTAGGTATGTGTCATAGCAAAAATCGCCACCCATAGCCTACCGATTGGAAAGCACTAAGCTCAAATATATAAATCAGGCTAATTGTCAATACCTTGGAGCCGACATGACACCATTCAACCACTTATTCTTCTGTAGTGAGAAATACTTCAATCCCAAAATCCAATACCAAACAAAAGCAATCATGACTATCAAATCCATTTCGATAATTGCAATTATATTCAAGCTTGGAATCGGTTTAGAGATACTCAACATGTGACTCCCCAACTCCAGGGTTCTTACCCCCTATCCCAAATTTTCGATAGCCAACTCACAAAATCAGTCAATTAGCAAGTTAAATTCGAAGTATGAGAAATCCAACAAGGCAATCAAAATTTGCAAATAAAGGTATTAGAGTTCTTATTAGTAGTCTAGAGTAATATTTTCATTACCCACAATATCAACTTATTATAAATAAGGTGTAGGGCAACACAGCGTCCACACAATTGATTATTTTCCTCTCCACCTCTGCTTCTTTCTTTCTCCTCTTTCTTGTGTTTTCTCTAACCCTAATATAACTTTTCCTGCTTCAACTTGGTATCAGAGCAATCGTTCAAGTCTAGATAACACTGAAATATACTGTAGACGAATCTGGGATCGCATCTCAATCGCTGACATTGCTGTTAGAGACTGACGTTAGCAGTTTCCAACCATTGGAACCATCTCCTAGACCAAAAATTAGTGGTGATATTTATTGTGATTTTTATTTATTTTTTTTGAAGTCATCTAAATAGGGTTTAGTATTTTTGAAGATTTTCGGCCAAAAATAGGGTTTTGTATTTTTGAAAATTTTCAACCAAAAATAGGGTTGTTTTTCAATTTGCTAGTTTGGCTCTTTTTTTGTCTGATTTCTTGCTGCACCAGTGGGGTGCGACTTGGCCCTAGGAGGGGTTTTTTTTAGTAGCTCAACCCTCTTTGGATGGATTTAGGAGGTTTTTTTGGCCCCTGTTGATGTTCGGCTCCCCTAAATCGTAATCGATACCGTTCAGCACCCTATTTGGTGCTAGTTTTGGCTTCTGGCTGTCATTTTTTGTGGTTGTCTTGTGTGGACAATGCTCTACTGGCTAGGCGGTGCTCTATTGTGGTTGTGTGATCATTTTGACGCTGTTTGTGTATTTTGTGGTCTTCTTTGGCTTTTTGGTTGTTCTTTGGTGCGATTGTAATCATGGTCGAGTAAGATTGTGATTGTTTATGGGTTCTCAGTTTGGTTTTATTCTCTACTACTTTTTAGTCAGTTATGGATTCTCTATGGCGACGTCTGAGGATACGAAGGATACTTCGGTGGATGATCAAGTCAAGCTAGACAGGTCATTCAAAGGATGATTTAGTTCGTCATATTACCTCTATCAAATTGGATGGAACTAATTATTACTCTTAGTCTCATACCATCAAAGTTTTTCTGTGTGCCAAAAGAAAATAAGTATTTGACGAAGAGTCCTCCTCATGAGACATTTAAAAATTCTGAAGATTGGTGGAGTGAAAATTCACGGGTGATGACTTAGTTGTGGGTTAGTATGGAACCTGTGGTGGCTTCCAATGTACAGCTTCTTAACACAGCCAAAAAGATGTGGAACTTTCTTGAGGAGATGTGCTTTCAAGAACATAATGTGTCCCAGATTTATGGCTCTATGAACGTATGTTTACTACCAAGCAAGGCCCTAAATCAATAGCTGAACATTATATTATAGTACTTTGAAAGGGTTGTGAGAGGAACTTATATTGTATCAACCACTAAGTAAAGATCTGGAGGTTCAATAGCAACAATGTGATGAATTTCAAGTTGCTTTATCGGGAGCACAAGTTGCCTTTGTTCCATAATGTGGTTATTCTTCCTCTTCAAATACTCATCTTCTATTGCAAGTGTATCATCTCTATGCTCCAGCTCCACAATCATCACCCGATTCTATTGGGGTCCTGCCCTCTGAACTATCAACTAGTTTAGCCACGTCTAATTTACCTATTACATTAAGGAAAGGTACTCAAAACTGTACCAACCATCATATTTCTAACTTTGTCTCTTTGCATCGACTTACTTCATCCTTACATTGTTTTGCATATAATCTTTCTTTTGTGTTTGTTCCTAGTTCCATGCAACAGGCATTGGCATCTCTAGGTTGGCAATTGGCGATGGATGAAGAGATGAAAACTCTTCATGAGAACCGAACATGGAACCTTACTTTTCTACCCTCTCAGAAGCAAGCAGTCAATTGTTGTTAAGTCTACAAAGTGAAGTATCATCACGATGGTTTAATTGAGAATCTGAAGGCTCGTTTGGTTGCCAAGGGCTACACTCAGACATATAGTGTGGATTACTGTGAGACATTTACTCTTGTTACTCGCCTTAATTCTGTTAAAGTTCTTATTTTTGTTACAGTTAATTATAAGTGGCCTTTGCATCAACTGGATATCAAGAATATCTTTTTCTACGGAGACTTATAGGAGGAAGTATATATAGTACAACCTCCAAGCTATGTTGCATCTGGTAAGGAACACTTAGTGTGTCGGTTGAAGAAATCACTATATGGCCTGAAATAATCACCACGTACTTGTTTGATAAATTTAGTATTGTTGTCCTTTAGTATGATTTTCAACATTCTACTTCAAACCATTTAGTTTTTATTCGTTATACTTCTATAGGTGTTATTATCCTCTTTGTATATGTTGATAACATAATCATTAACGGTAATGATTCTAAAGATTGCCCATTTTAAGATTCATTTGGGAAAGTAGTTTCACACCAAAAATTTAGGTACTCTTCGCCATAGTTGTCAAATTGCGTATCGAAAGATGTATTGTTTTTTAAAAATAGTGTATCGTATCGTATTGTATCGTGTATCGTAAGATACGGTGTAATTTTAAATAATTAATAATTAAATATATGTTTACAAATTTTAGGGTGTCTAGCTGTAATTTATTAACGGATATATTTATAACAAAGGTTTAAGTGNGTTGTTTTTCAATTTGCTAGTTTGGCTCTTTTTTTGTCTGATTTCTTGCTGCACCAGTGGGGTGCGACTAGGCCCTAGGAGGGGTTTTTTTTAGTAGCTCAACCCTCTTTGGATGGATTTAGGAGGTTTTTTTGGCCCCTGTTGATGTTCGGCTCCCCTAAATCGTAATCGATACCGTTCAGCACCCTATTTGGTGCTAGTTTTGGCTTCTGGCTGTCATTTTTTGTGGTTGTCTTGTGTGGACAATGCTCTACTGGCTAGGCGGTGCTCTATTGTGGTTGTGTGATCATTTTGACGCTGTTTGTGTATTTTGTGGTCTTCTTTGGCTTTTTGGTTGTTCTTTGGTGCGATTGTAATCATGGTCGAGTAAGATTGTGATTGTTTATGGGTTCTCAGTTTGGTTTTATTCTCTACTACTTTTTAGTCAGTTATGGATTCTCTATGGCGACGTCTGAGGATACGAAGGATACTTCGGTGGATGATCAAGTCAAGCTAGACAGGTCATTCAAAGGATGATTTAGTTCGTCATATTACCTCTATCAAATTGGATGGAACTAATTATTACTCTTAGTCTCATACCATCAAAGTTTTTCTGTGTGCCAAAAGAAAATAAGTATTTGACGAAGAGTCCTCCTCATGAGACATTTAAAAATTCTGAAGATTGGTGGAGTGAAAATTCACGGGTGATGACTTAGTTGTGGGTTAGTATGGAACCTGTGGTGGCTTCCAATGTACAGCTTCTTAACACAGCCAAAAAGATGTGGAACTTTCTTGAGGAGATGTGCTTTCAAGAACATAATGTGTCCCAGATTTATGGCTCTATGAACGTATGTTTACTACCAAGCAAGGCCCTAAATCAATAGCTGAACATTATATTATAGTACTTTGAAAGGGTTGTGAGAGGAACTTATATTGTATCAACCACTAAGTAAAGATCTGGAGGTTCAATAGCAACAATGTGATGAATTTCAAGTTGCTTTATCGGGAGCTCAAGTTGCCTTTGTTCCATAATGTGGTTATTCTTCCTCTTCAAATACTCATCTTCTATTGCAAGTGTATCATCTCTATGCTCCAGCTCCACAATCATCACCCGATTCTATTGGGGTCCTGCCCTCTGAACTATCAGCTAGTTCAGCCACGTCTAATTTACCTATTACATTAAGGAAAGGTACTCAAAACTGTACCAACCATCATATTTCTAACTTTGTCTCTTTGCATCGACTTACTTCATCCTTACATTGTTTTGCATATAATCTTTCTTTTGTGTTTGTTCCTAGTTCCATGCAACAGGCATTGGCATCTCTAGGTTGGCAATTGGCGATGGATGAAGAGATGAAAACTCTTCATGAGAACCGAACATGGAACCTTACTTTTCTACCCTCTCAGAAGCAAGCAGTCAATTGTTGTTAAGTCTACAAAGTGAAGTATCATCACGATGGTTTAATTGAGAATCTGAAGGCTCGTTTGGTTGCCAAGGGCTACACTCAGACATATAGTGTGGATTACTGTGAGACATTTACTCTTGTTACTCGCCTTAATTCTGTTAAAGTTCTTATTTTTGTTACAGTTAATTATAAGTGGCCTTTGCATCAACTGGATATCAAGAATATCTTTTTCTACGGAGACTTATAGGAGGAAGTATATATAGTACAACCTCCAAGCTATGTTGCATCTGGTAAGGAACACTTAGTGTGTCGGTTGAAGAAATCACTATATGGCCTGAAATAATCACCACGTACTTGTTTGATAAATTTAGTATTGTTGTCCTTTAGTATGATTTTCAACATTCTACTTCAAACCATTTAGTTTTTATTCGTTATACTTCTATAGGTGTTATTATCCTCTTTGTATATGTTGATAACATAATCATTAACGGTAATGATTCTAAAGATTGCCCATTTTAAGATTCATTTGGGAAAGTAGTTTCACACCAAAAATTTAGGTACTCTTCGCCATAGTTGTCAAATTGCGTATCGAAAGATGTATTGTTTTTTAAAAATAGTGTATCGTATCGTATTGTACCGTGTATCGTAAGATACGGTGTAATTTTAAATAATTAATAATTAAATATATGTTTACNCCATAGTTGTCAAATTGCGTATCGAAAGATGTATTGTTTTTTAAAAATAGTGTATCGTATCGTATTGTATCGTGTATCGTAAGATACGGTGTAATTTTAAATAATTAATAATTAAATATATGTTTACAAATTTT